AGTATGCATTCAAGGTCACTGCAGAATTCCCACCCCTAGGACGCTATTGTTTAACTTCCCCTTTAAGATTGCTTTAAATTTTGTAATTTTATAATAATAATAACATAGATAATGATGTAGACGTGTGTGTTCCTATCCACTACTTAAAAGAGCTACTATTCAGGTACACTTTAAATGTCCAGTTGAATTCCATTATGGGTAAATTTTTGTTTTGATAAAGTCTCACAGTGTTATACAGTAATGTTTACTAATGACCACGTTTCGAGCACAATTCATTACTGCTCATAATCATATCAAGGTAATCACACGACTTCCTAACTTCATTTATATAGTTCCGTTATTTTTCACTTGATTTTCGCTTGATTTGATTGGTAATAGTATTTTCCATATTTCAGGTATGAGTGATGATTCATTCCTATTGCATGTATTTGATGTAGACTCGATGAACAAGGATTCAGTTATCAACCTCTCTCTCCACCTACCTAGATTACTTTTTAGAATTTTATCCCTCTCCCACCCTATTGTGTGGTTGTGTGTTAATGCATGCATTGCAATTGCTGAGCTTTTTTCTAAATTACTTATCTTTTCAGGGTCATCGAGTCTACACCAAATACATGCAATAGGAATGAATCATTATACAATTGGTGGATGGTGGCTAGCAGTGGAATCCAGGATAAAGCACATTTCGTCCTATTTGGGACTCGTCAGCTGGATGTACCTGCATTTCTCAGTGAGTGATGATGTTCCCACCAATGAGGCTCGAACCCAGTACCCATAGTTTCAAACGCCAAAGCGTTATCCACTAGACCACTTGGGCCACGAGAGCCACCTCTTGTGCAACGGGTCATATATTAATTATTGAATTGAATTTTTGGTTTTCCCGTCGATTGATTGGACCTAAGTGCTCGGTCTCAGGTTGACCAATTGTATACTAATTAAATACCCAGACATCGTCGAAGCATCTGCACAAGAAGCCGAAAAGTCAACCCGAGACCGAGCACTTCGGTCCAATCAATCGACGGGAAAACCAAATATTCAATTCAATAATTAATATATGACCCGTTGCACAAGAGGTGGCTCTCGTGGCCCAAGTGGTCTAGTGGATAACGCTTTGGCGTTTGAAACTATGGGTACTGGGTTCGAGCCTCATTGGTGGGAACATCATCACTCACTGAGAAATGCAGGTACATCCAGCTGACGAGTCCCAAATAGGACGAAATGTGCTTTATCCTGGATTCCACTGCTAGCCACCATCCACCAATTGTATACTAATTAAATACCCAGACATCATCGAAACATCTGCACAAGAAGCCGACAGGTCAACCTGAGACCGAGCACTTCGGTCCAATCAATCGACGGGAAAATCAAAAATCCAATTCAGGAATGAATCATCACTCATACCTGAAATATGGAAAATACCACTACCAATCAAATCAAGTGAAAAATAATGGAACTGTATAAATGAAGTTAGGAAGTCGTGTGATTACCTTGATATGATTATGAGCAGTAATGAATTGTGCTCGAAACGTGATCATCAGTAAACATTACTGTATAACACTGTGAGACTTTATCAAAACAAAAATTTACCCATAATGGAATTATACTCTACCACAGTGCACAAGTTTTATTCTTATATCAATGTCCAGTTGAAGTTCAACAACATGCTTTATAAATAAAGGGTTGGCGTGGCGATGGTGGGTCACCATTGGATCCTTTACTTGCAGACTCATTCTTGGCTCATTTGGAGAGTTGTATATTACGGCCTACTATCGATAGTTTCCATTTGTACCAAAGATCCATGGATGATACTTCTCATCATATGTGATGAGAACACTAACATCGAAATGATAACTAAGGAGTTTAACAACTGCCAAAATGCTATTTATTTCACGTCGGAATCAGAGGTGAACTCGGAATTCCATTTTTTGGATGTCTGGCTAAAAAAAGGAGATCTGATGATTGTCTTCAAAGATCGATCTACAGGAAACCAACATGGAATGGTCAATACACGAATTTTTATAGTTGGGTCCCTCTGAGAAGAATGAGAAATCTGATCCCCTTCTTTTCCTCAAAAATAAGAATTGACAGGGAACTGGAGCAACTCAGGTAAGTCCTCATAGAGAATTGTTATCCTCCAGGATTCATCGATAAAACACATGAGGGTAAATGAAAAGCCTGGAAGAACCCTGAAAGTGCTGAAGAAACTGCTATTTATGAGCGCCAAATTTAAAGGTGATACCGAAGCTGAGACCCTGAAGAACCGCATCTTTTTCGGATGACTGAGTAAAAAGTCTTCTTTACAGCTGAGCTACGAATCAATTTCAACAGCCGGTGAATAATCAGTGGATATGTGAAGGATAAACTGCCGTTTTGGGACAGTTCAGTGTGTGTTTATAAATTCACCTGCTCGTGTGGAGGTAGTTATATTGGCTGTGCAAAGTGCAGACTTTCGAAAACGATAATGCAAGACAATTACTAGCTCGATTCTCGAGCATTTGATCAGCTCAAACCACGTAGCTCCACTACACTCTACAAGGTGAGGCCGACTGGTAAAAATGGAGTCAGGTTTTTGCTTTTGTGTATGGCAGAGGCGTTGGCAATGCGTCAATACAACCCTCTGACTCTGTCTACAGAAGAAAGTTTCTCCAGTCTCTTATTCTACCATGGTCTTAACCTCTTCACTAGTTGTTTCCTGCAGAAAGTTTTAATTCTTTTTTGATTTCCAATGTTACTTTATAGTTTGCTTTTACTTTAATAATTAATTCACTGTTATCACTCTCATGTTTCTTTAGGCGCATTTTCAAACCCTCTTCAGACTTCTTAAATTGACACTCATCTACCACCTTTCTTCTCATTCAACAGCAACTTTAACCTGATCATCAAATTTCTAAAGCTTTTTTCCATTGTGCTGTTGAGTACTACGTAATTTAAAACTCTTATTTTATTTTTTACTTCTAAAGCCACTTCTGAGTAATCATATCCATTATGTCAACCCCTTTTACTCAATAATAGACCACTATATATTTTTGTAAGTATAAATACAACCGTACAGTCTGTGAAGACTATTTCGTCTCTGAATTTGCTTTTCATTATTTTATTCCTTGATATTTCGAAAGGAAAATAGGGCTTTAAGCTAGAGCTTTAAAGTTTCCATAGCAGCAGTATTTATTTTTATGCTGCGGCGTTGCTAGTCCCACAACCAATCTTCCCTCTTTACTAACCTTACTACTGGCTTACCGAGGCTGTGGAATGCATCGGCCGAGAATAGAACCTCAGACAACGTGCATCATTGCAGAGAGCACTCTCCAACTGAACCAACAACGCATTAACGTGTGATTAGATGACTGTAAGCAATCAGTCACAAGAAGACTTCGATCTAGGTTTCGTCCTAGATGGCACTCAGCAGCATAGCGTATCTTCAGCCTCGAAAGAAGGAACTCATATCCCTTCTGAGACTTAAACTCGCGTCACCCAGTACCATCTGTAGTCAGAGACGTTACCACTGAGCTATTCAGTCTGACGATTGACCTCCTGTAGGATTGGACACTAGTCAGTAACTAGTGTGATGTGTGTCTAGTCCTATCCTTGATGCAGACTGAATTCTATCAGTTAAGCTTGCCGTGTGATAACGTCTCTGACCGTGACTGGTACTTGGTGATGTGGGTTCGAATCTCAGAAGGGACATGAGTTCCTTCTTTCAAGGTTGCAGATGCGCCTTACTGACTGATGAGTGCTAACTAGCACGGAAATTGGGTCCCAGTAAGGCTTCCTGATAATTTCCTCCAACCGTCTAATGCCAACAATTCACAATGCACCGTGATGGCGAGCCACCTAGTGGCATGGTGTGGCCACATTGCAAACCCGACTGACTGAATGACTGATAGAATTCAGTCTACACCAAACAAAGAACTAACCAGACGCCCTTGTAGTCTCCAATCAAAACATAAACACGCCTTAAAGTAAACCAAGGAGTCAGACAAGGGTGCTTACTATCACCAATGATATTCCTAATTGTGGTGGACTGGATTATGCGTCAGACTGTGGGAAACGAGAAGACAGGAATATCCTGGACCGACAGACGTGAAGAACCTAGAAGACCTGGATTTCGCGGATGACTTATGTTTGATGTCACACACAATCGAAGACTTACAAGCGTAAACCGACAAACTGGTCGAAGAAGCAGCAAAAACAGGACTCCAGGTAAACATAGACAAGACGGAGGTTATGAAAATAACCAACCAACCAACCAATAACAGCAACAACATCCAACGTCAATCACCATCAACGGGAGGGATTTGAAAGAGGTTACTTCATTCACTTATCTAGGGAGCATTGTCTCAACTACAGGAGGAGCGGACGAGGATGTCAAATCGAGAATCGGAAAGGCGAGAAACACATTCATCAGCCTGAAATCAATCTGGAAATCTTCGTCACTCAGCCACTATCACCAACAAAATTGGGATTTTCAATACAAACGTAAAGTCAGTTCTTCTATACGGATCAGAAACTTGGCGGGTCACAAAGAATATTTCCAAAAGGCTGCAGACCTTTATTAACAACTGTCTTCGCTCAATACTGAAGATCAGACGGCCGGAAAGAATCACCAACAAGGAATTATGGGAACAAACAAAGCAAGAACCGATCGCCCAACAAATATGCAGGAGAGAGAAGGTAGAGATGGATCGGACACTCGCTGAGGAGACCACCGCTGGGTGACATCGCGAGCGCGTCAGGCCATTGCTCGAGTGGAACCCGAAAGGGAAGCGGCGTGTGGGACGTCGGTGCAAGGGTGACATGGAGGAGATCGTGTGAAGAGGAGTTGAAAGAATATGGATTAACATGGATGCAGACGAAAAGTATAGCAGAAGACAGAAGAAAATGGAGACGTGCAGTTGAAGCCCTATGTTCCACTAGGAACCCAAGGGAGCAATAATAATAATAATAAAGTAAACCAAAAGGATTTATACACCAAAAAATAATACAAAATTACACAGACTTACTGCTTGTTTGTCAACTGTGTACACTATTCATTCAAGAAATAAACGATAAACAGAAGAATTTATCACATTGAAAGATGATAACAAGACTGAGATTAATTACTGTTACTGTTTTTTATACATAAATATATATTTTGCAATATTTTCAATATTTTATCAGCTTCCTTCCATCCTTTTCATTCGATATATACATATTCATGAAGTAGTCAAATGCGAATAAGTGATTATCCTTTAGTGATAATGTTGATTGGCAGTTGGTATACAGAGAGAGAGGGTGGTGGTTGACTTGAATCACCTACACACAGACAAACATCAATATCTGAGAAAAGATGATTCGACTACTGATGGTGGCATTTGAAGATGTCTCATTAGGTTGATGAAATGCTGATGACGTTGATGATGGTGATGAATAAGTGATGATGAGAATTAAAATAACGTTGGTTGTATTATTATTATTATTATTATTATCTAACCACTAGACGGGAAAACTCGAATCATGATAACAGAATAAATAACACCCACATGAGATATGAGCATTAGTTTTTCTTTCAGGTGTTTATGAATAAGTTAACTCTTCATCGCTTTCATTGGATGAGAAGCATATTTCTTCTTATTGTTTTTGCTGTTGTTATTGCTATTGCTGTTTTATTTTCTCTTATTTTTAACAAGCTAAAGTCTAAAGGAAATGATTTCATTGGATGTTAGATATGCTCAAATATTCTTGTCCCTATTATACATATATATATATATGTCTTACATAAGGCAAAATTTAATAGTAATTTGAAAATGCAATTAAAATATGTTTGTGTACAATAGCCAGTCAGTCAGTCAGTAAAGGCAAATTAGAATCATATCAGAAGGTGTATTATGAAACAAGTAGGAGTAACATGGGATGGAACAGTAGTCAGTTAGTTTTTTAATATGCGTCGTCAATGAGAACATGAGATGAAATAATTTAGTGTGTGTGTGCGTCGGTGGCACAGTGGTTAGGACTCTCGCCGACCATGCACATGGTCGGGGGTTCGAGTCCACGCCGACGCACACTTGATATGTATGGTCGGCCTGCGAATTTTGGGCTACCGATATCCACGCTGAAAATTCCACACTTGTACCAAAAATACGGTGTAAAATCAAGCTGTAATCAAAAAAAAAAAAATTAAAAATATATACATATAAATATAGTCAACAGAAAATTACAGTTTTCGAGAGTGAGTGTAATCAGGCTGTGTGTGAGAAAATATGAAAATAAACCAACGTGTTGGGCGGACTACACATAAATATAAGTTCAAGGTTGAAGATGACGACAATAAGAATGATTTTCTATAGTTTAGTTTTTTTGGGGTCAGTTCTGTTTTTACGAGTTGATCACGGATTGATATCAGTTCGAGAACCATTGAAAACAAACAGGGAGTAATGGACAGCTGCTGTTTCATCCTACTGACCAGTGAGGTTCATCTTGATGTCACGTGTGAGAATGGATATCCCACAGACGACATTGGTTGCGGTCGGGCTAAATCACGAATGAGTGGAAGTTAGAATTCATGAGCTGTCCATTGAATCGGGTCCCACTGGCTGAATGGTATACGAGCTTGCCTTGTAACCGGAAGGTCCTGGGTTCGAATCTCAGTGGGTGCGTACTGCCGATGATACCCTAACTAAGATGAAACAGCTGTCCAATACTCCAGTCCTGGTTTTCAATGTTTCTCTAACTGATATCAATCCGTGATCAACTCGTAAAAAAAAGTAAGAATAATTGTAAAATAATAAAGATGATATGGTGTAAAATACAAGCACTATTGGTGAGTGAACTACTGTCTATGTGCGTGCGTGTGAACATGTACCTGTATAGTTGAATAAATGGGTAACCAAATGCGTATATGGTGAAGCCTTAGCCCACTTGACCAGGCGTGCTCAGTTATTTATCTCGTTCCTAGTAATCTGTCTAGAGGACCTCGACTAGGTCTTCTATCAGTAGCTAAAGCAGCCGCAATTAATACCAGAAGAACAACTCTTTGTATACAGAAGAAGTATGTTCAACCTCTATGCTCACCTTGGCGTACAATAGAGCCAACAAATCCTTCATAAACATTAACACTATAAATTCCTTTCACAATTTTCTTTTCTTTTCCTTCTTCTATTCCTCTGTTTCATTGACAAACGTTCATTTTCGACTTTTATGATTTCATGACCTTTCTTATGATTTCTGTTATCACCTTAGGTTTAAGCAGTGCTTTTCTAACTTGCTATCGTATTTACAAAATCCTGTCCAATCCACCTCATTATATTCATTATTATTATTTGACAATAATTCATTCACCAATAGTACTTGTAATTTTACACCATATTATCTTTATTATTATTTTACAATCATTCTTATCAACGTTATTTTCAACCTTCAACTTATGTCTAGACCGCCCCATTCGTTGGTTTATTTTCCATACTGTCTCTTAGACACCCTGATTACACTCACTCTTGAAAACTGTAATTTTTTGTTCACTATATACATATAATAGCACCACATGCAGTTACACACAACCATAGAATAGGATTGATGGGATAGGATGACAGTTTTAAAATCTAATGCAACTGACAGGGTGGAGGGAGAGATTGATGACAGCGGAAGCTTTGCTAATCAAATCCACTGAGAGTGAATACATGTAATAAGAATGATTCAACACCTGTCCAGTTGGATATCTGGAAAATTATACTACCCCAGTGGCAACAAATACGAGAGGACAAAGAAAACTATAAAACTGAAGTTTTGAAATTTTGTGATTATAACTGATGAAATGATTATGAACAATAAATTTTGTTCGAAACTTTGTCATCCAGTTAATAATACAGTTTCACTAACTGTGTGATACATCTAATAAACAAACTAAATGGAATTACTCACTACTTTCTATCTACTAGTTCGACCTATGTAGGTGACCTCACTCACAGTCACTGCAAGGTATTTTGTAAATTACATTATTTTATTCAAATGGCTCAGCAGGATCCCTTGACCTGCGGAACTTATCCCTGAATGAATGACACTCTAATTCCTGCTTTATTAAAAATCTTACGTGCGGAGGATCGCAAATTCCCCCTCCTTATATTGTAAATCTACTGTAGATGCCTTACTCATAACGCAGTTATACTTTACCACAGAGCCCAAGTTATATACTTTTACCCAATATTCATAAATCGATAAACTGATCTGTTAAGCATACTTGTCTGCTCACTGATCACAGTTCTCTGTAGTCATTTAAATATCTCACTATGTGCATCAGATGAGGTCGAGTTTATTGACGTTTTGTAAGATTCTTCGACTAATTGAATCAAATTAGCTTGTACTGACATTTTACTAGGTATTTCCAGAGATTCAACGATATATGAAGTTGTCACTGTTATTTGTTTGATAGTGGTTTGAAGTAGAAGTAAGGCCGTAGATTTCGTCCTGTCTGGTATTTGTCATCCAAAAGGCAGTGAGCAACGGTGTTGCAGGTGCCAGTCAAATGCCCAGAGCACACCCACTAGGCTACTGAACCATGAAAATTACCTATTGTTCAAGGGTTACCAGTTCTTTTGTAGTGAAACTATGTTTTTGAATATCTACTCAGTTGAGTTTTCCTAGAATTCAATGTTAAATGAATCCAGGTTAACCTCTGCGCTAGGAGACGATATACTGAAAGACACAGAAGATGTCATTTAACCAATGAATGTTTATGCCAGCCTATGGTTTTGTTTTACACTTCATAAATGAGTGCATCAGATACTTTAGGAAATGACTGTCAATAATACTCGTCGTAGTCTTGAGTTAGTTATTACCATGAATGACTTCAACTTAATTACTATCAAATTTAATTCAGATTGTGGAAAACAACTATGTGGACATTAGAAAGAAGAGAACACAAAGTTCAGCAAAGATGCTGATCTTTTCAACGATTTTATTTTCAAAAGCAGCTCTACAATCGCATTTAAATTTTGTTTTACATGGATACAATTCCTGTTTGATTTCACATAATTACGACGGCGAATATAAGGTGACAATTATTTTCAACTAGATATGGCTTTCTAGAGCCTTAGAAACAAAATTACACGGAATTATAGCGAATTACAGGTGTTTAGAAAATAAGCATGGAGACAAAATTGAAACAATAATTTGAGCTTGAAATGGAAGTAAGAAGGTTTGAATATAGATTACAAGAGCCTTAGAAACACAAAAATTGCACAGGATTAAGATATAATTTTAAAATAGTTATTTTAAATGAATTATAAATGTGAGCAGGAAAAGCATGGAAACAAAGCGACTGGCCCTATTCAGGCAGTTAACCTGGGGTTCTAGTGGGAAGCCGTGACCAGTAGGGTACAGCAGGTCGAAGATGAGGCAGTAACTCATCGAAGAAGACATTGCGAAGTGGTCGCACTCTGTCGTGAATTGGCAGAAGTTAGAATTCAAGAACCATTGGATCGGGTCCCAGTGGCTCAATGGTCTACGAGGCCGCTCGCCTTGTAACCAGAAGGTCCTGGGTTCGAACCCCGGTGTGTGCGTACTGCTGAGGAGTCCCAAACCAGGACGAAACAGCTGTCCAGTACTCCCAGGTTTTCCAGTGGTTCTCTAACTGATATCAGCTCATGATTAAATCCTCCATACCAACTTAAAATAACTGTTTTTATTAGTGAAAACAGAAATGGGGTGAATCGAATGAAGACAGAGGGAGTAAGAATCACACACACACACAGTGAACGAAAAAAGATCAAAAAGAAAAAAGAGAACGAAAGAAGAAAAAAACTGAACCTATGGGAACATACCGAACTTGGTTCATTGTACTTGTAGAGATTAGACTAGTTTCTTTTTAACATACAGCTCCGACTTCTCGATGAATATTACGAGGGCTTCTGCAGTACACAAAAGTCGGAAACATACTGCCTTTGGTAGGTTTTTGTTGACTTTGTAAATTACTTTGAAAGAATCAGTTGAGATGTTGTGAGAGGTGTTGATCAGATGTTCAATAATGGCACTTCTGATTGAACTGGTGCCTCCTCTTTGCAACCACGCTGGGTAATGTTCTCTAACACGTTTTGAAAGGACGCGCATAGAACGACCTATATACCTTGCGCCACACGAGCAGATGAACTAGAATATTCACATTGAATTGGTCGTTTGTGAGAGTTCGTCCTTTGTGTTGTTTCGAAGCATTGGTAGGCAAGAGACTGTCACTCTTAGTGTTACTGCAGCGAAGGTATTCGTTAAAGAGCCATATAATTCCAATTTAATTCAAATTGATCAACACTAAGATGAAAACTTCACTGACCTTGATAAATCTTTTGAGGGTTTGTGAATAAATATCTAATGGATTCATAAGTTTCTCTAATATTTTTCAAGTATTGGTTTTGTAGGAATTTTTTGTTTGATTGCATGGAAGATTTCATCATGAGCTGATACCATTGGAAAACCAACAAGGAGTACTGGACAGCTGTTTCGTCAGCCTAGTTTGGGACTGTTTATCAATACGCACCCATCAGTAAAGTTCGAACCCAGGACCT